TGATGCAAGCTTCACATGACCTGCGTTGTCGTAACATTATTTTAATTAAAGGATGATATTTCAAGTTTGAAATGTTCTTAAGTAAGATACAATTACAGAATTATGGTATTCCATGGATAAATGAAAACACAGTTAACTGACCTTCATAACAACAAGAGGTTTCTAGACCTATTATGTGAAAGAGTGAGTATTGGGATCTGTAGCAGATGGAATGAAAGAGCCAAGGCTTGGTGTAAATGTAGACAAAAACAAATACTTTATTGATGAGGAAATCAAAAGATTGAATTACAAAGTGGCTAATAATTTAAATCAAGAACTATTATGGTGTTTGAAAATGAAAACAAAATATGAAAAATGTAAAAGAGTACTGCACTTAGGCAAAAAAGTATACATTACTTGGCTAAACTAAAATGGAGTGGCTGTTTGATATTCAGCAAATTAAATGTTGTATGGATTAAAACAAGGAAGAAGCTTCACTTCTATTCAACATCAGAAACAAATATGGATGAAAATACCAAACTATTCTCATATTTCGTCTTCTTTCTGTAGCTCCCCAATCACAAAACTGAATCAGAAGTATCTTGAAATATCTCAACTCCATGACAGTAACAAAGCAGTCCAACATGCACTTTGTAATATTGAACACAATACAACTATCCCATGAAATGGTAGATAACTTCCTTGACCAACTCATGCTAAGGGTTAAATTTGCTTATGACCATGACTGAATTAACAAGTTGAGAAGTGAAACATTAGAAAAATCTAAAACATTTTGTATGATATGAAAAATATATATATACTATAAAAGAGTGAGATTCATGGTATTTCATACTATAAAAGTTCAACCACTAAGTGTTTCTCTATTTGAATGAAGAAATACTCAGATATAAAGCTTTATTTCACACTGATTTTTCTCAGTCATGATTTAAAAAATGAGTGGTGAGTCTGTGCAAAGCAGCAACATCCAAATCATTGGATCATCTGTGGAAGAAGTAAAGCTGTGAACTAAAGAAAGAATCTTGATCACCCAACAAAGACCAAAATTGAATACTCAAGGCTATGTAACGTTTTTGCTTCTCAACTCTTTGAAGAAGATTAAATTGTCTGTTTAAAGAAAATTTAATTTATTGACTCAAGTTTAAAGCATATAATGTGTTTCTTCTTATGGTCTCACAAACTCTTGGAATATCTCCTTAAATAAGGGCCTTTTGTCATTAATGATGCAATTGTGTTCATGTTCTCTGAACTCTGCCTTAAACTTAGTTAATTTATTGTTTTCCAACTGATTACTTCTGGTATCACTGCTGTTCATCCTCCATTCTTGTTATCTCAAAAAGGTTAACAAGAGTGCAATGCTCACAACTTCTGCTTCAGACCTCATGCCAATTATTCTGTCAGTATAGTCAGAGAATGAGTGAATTCCTTAAAATACTGAGCAGTCTGTACTAAACCTGCTGTCTGCAAGCTGAACATAAGACATTATGAGAAGTGATATAGTTAAGCCTGGGAGAGCCTTTTTTTACAGGAAATTTCCTGGTGCTTTTAATTTCCATTATGAATTAATAATAAAGATTGTTTGTGTAACTTTATGTAAACAAATAAAATATCAAGAGAACGCTAATAGTGAAATGATCCCTCTGTGTATTAACACTTTACTTCCATTTTTGAAATACAATATCTTGCACTGTTTTGAATAGAACTACACATCTACCTGTGAGAATAATTGAAAATTTTCAACAGTGATCTAATTATGTGAACCAAAATATTAGTCACTGGACAAACCAACATGTTGTTGACTGATGACATAGGGAGAGAAAGATGCTAAATGCTCAAGTATACTAAGTGGTGAAACAGAACAATAGGTATTTTTTGTTCTTTTCAGGAGAAGAAGATGCTTTAACCGAACGAAACATGCAGCATCACATACAAATGGCCCATCCACTCTTCCCCTCTTGTTTGTGTTCTTCAACTTTTCATATCATTAGTCTTCTTGATGATCCTCAAGTAAACATAGATGGTGTTGCTGGTAAGTTGGTTCCATACAATTGCTATATATATTTGTATTAAATTAGTTACTAAATAAAGTTAGGTTATTTGCCAGGTTTGACTCTTTTTTTTTGTATCTAAATTTCTTTGTGAATCTATGGAGTGTGTTTGAACTGCAGGAGACTTGACCAACAACAGTAAAAAAATATATTTGTGATACGTCTGATAATTGCTTGACACGCTTGAAGGATATGTATTTGGTTTTGCTGTTAGAAATATGTATCAGATTTAATTTATTTTAGGTTCTTCCATGGACTTACAAATGTTATCCAGAAATAACAAATAATTGAATCCATACAGGATAGAGAACAGTGCTTGTATCTTAGTGTAATTAATGTTTTTGGCTGGCTACCTACAATATTAATATTTTATGGGAGTTTTCAATATAATTAGAAAGCGAATGTTTTTCATAAATGCAAGTTTTTATTGATAAAATGAATTATTTTAGAACTAAGCTTACTTTTGGTGTTATCATATAATTACAATTTTTTTTGTATTAGATTTTTGGCTAATAGTTGCATTTAAATATATATTTTTTGAAAATTATATGCTTCACAAAAGCAATTTATACAATTAATAAACATAGTATTAGTACAGAATTTACAGTAAATGCTGTTTCTCTTGTTGTTCAACTGTATATGATAAATATATTCGAATTTATTAAAATATGACTTATTTTCTGACAATTTTACTTTTTTTAAATGTTTCGTATTTTTCCTAATTCATATAACCATTTCTGTCTGGGTTTGAAGCTAATCAATGGTTTTGATCAAACTGTTATCCCAGATGAATAACATATTTGAAAACTAATTTTTTATGCTTTAATAATGTTAAAATATGTCTAAGAGACAAGGACCATCATGACTTAATTTAGTATTGTCTAGTATGGGGGCCCGGCATGGCCAGACGGTTAGGGCACTCGACTCGCAATCTGTGGGTCGCGGGTTTGAATTCCCATCATACCAACCATGCTCACCCTTTCAGCCATGTTGGTGTTATAATGTGATGGTCAATCCTACTATTCATTGGTAAAAGAGTAGCCCAAGAGTTGGCGGTGGGTGGTGATGACTAGCTGCCTTCCCTCTAGTCTTACACTGCTAAATTAGGGATGGCTAGCGCAGATAGCCCTTGTGTAGCTTTGCACAAAATTCAAAAACAAACAAACAGTCTAGTATGGAAATCAATCAAACATTTTTTCTTCAACCTAGTAGTGCTCAGAAGGAAAAGATGTTACTGTATGCTACTATATAATATTTAAAAACTAATTGTTGTGTTTGTGTAACTTGAATTTACTCAGTGTTTCCATAATTGATTTCTTGTTTATAGTTTATGAAGTTGCTTACAAAGTTATCTGGTTGTGTCTCGTGGAAGACACAGCCCTTTTTATGCGACACTTTCTTGAAAAACTAACCCGAGAAAAACAAGATGTCATACTTCAAATTTTGAGGAAGCTTCTACATTTTATCCCCCGTCTTCCCCCTCAGGCAGCTTACACATTGTACAACTATTTTGTAAGTTATGTTGTTTAGTTTATTTCACAGTTAAAAGTTTTGTTCTGTTTTTCTGTTTTTGATCATAATAAAAGATTAGGACAATTTTATATCATACAAGGTAGATTTATAAGTATGGCTAGATAGGTATCTTTTTGAATGTACCTGAAATAGGCTTTTTTAATCTCTTTTTATTGAGATTGGAATATGAAACATAATTAAAAGGTGTAACATAATTAATTTTTGGTTCTATGCCTTTTGGTAAAGGTTTTAGAGTTTTTCCACTAAGTCAGATAGGTTTTCAATGTACTGAGAGTTAAAGTAATCATTTGATAAATGGAAGAGGCAAGCATATAGTAAATAGATCTTATACTTAGAATTTGATGGGAGTAATTTCTGTGATATCAAGACTGTGTTATTTCATTTATTTTTATTCTTGTAACTTGATTATTTGGAATAACTTTTTGTGACTACTGTGGCTTTACAAAATTTTGTTATTTTAGTTAAGAGCTGGTAACATCTTAATTATCAATTTAACCACTAAGACTATTTTAAATCTTGGAATTTCATCAAAGTCATATAAAACTTACTATAAAACATAGTATTTTTTTTATCTTGGCTCAAAAACAGTCTAGCTATTGAATTAAAACTAAAAGATAATAGTGTGTATCAAACCTTCTAATGAAAAATATCTATAACATTTTTTATTTCAAAGCAATAGATATGTTAATGGAACCAGTAAATAGTATTTTTTTTATCTTGGCTCAAAAACAGTCTAGCTATTGAATTAAAACTAAAAAATAATAGTGTGTATCAAACCTTCTAATGAAAAATATCTATAACATTTTTTATTTCAAAGCAATAGATATGTTAATGGAACCAGTAAATGACCAGATTGGATAAACTGAAGAATCCTGTTAAATTCTATCTTAAATAACCAATGAAGTGAATAATGACACTTGTGGCATTTGAGCTCCTCAATTTTACCAGCCTAAAGCAGCTATGGGTTTGCTGAATTGTAAGATTGAATCTCAGCCAATCTCAACTTGAAAATTTTCAGAAAACTACTAAATTGGCTAAATAGTTGGGAGGACTTCAAAAAAGATCAAGACCATGTTTACTTTGGTATTTCAGAAAGTAAATTTTGCAAATTTGGGCTGATTGCTGGAAAGTTGGATATTGAAGGCATTTTCATTTTTTGAAGAAAATAATTATGCATTTCATTAAGTTTGAACATACAGAATTTATTTTTTCTCATCAGTTACATGGAATGGAGGATTTAACAAAGTACTTAAGTCCTTATATGAAGTCTTTCTATATTTAGTTTTTAAAAAGTAAGTTGATTTGGCTTTTTAAGCATTAGTATGTGTTGATAGCATTAATCATTTTTGTTTAATATAATATATCCCCACTTAACAAATATTGTTATTGTTTCTGTGCAGATTGGATATATTATGTTTTATGTGAGAACTCCTGTTGAAGGTGGACAAGAACTGATAGCGAATGCTCTTTCTCTTGTTTGGCTTGTAAGTGCTTCTTCACACTCTGTATAAATGTTTCATTTAGAAAAATGTAAAACATAATTAATAAAATATTGAATACATCATAAATTTCTCTTTCATATCTTATTACTTATGTATTTATAGGTACTGCTGAAAAGTTTTAATAATGTTTTCTCACAAAGATTTTGACTAAAATGTACTTTCCTCTGACTCAGATTTATGGTAGAATTTTGGATTACAGAGCTGGGTAGTCGGGTGTGAATCCATGTGATGTCACAAATTATTCCCTGCACTTTAACCTGTGGTTGCTTTATATGAGTGAAAGTCCATCCTTTAGCATGGGTGGTAGGGAGTTGCTGACTGGCTGCCTTCCCTCTCATCAGTAGTTCAAAATTAGGGATGTTGGTAGATAGCCTTAGTAATTTTGCCTTAAATGCAAATACAAACAGTGACTCAAATCTAGATTGTCTTTTAGATTGTACTTTGAGGATTAATATAAAACTATATCTTATATTAAAAGGAATTTATCTCTTTCACTTTCTAACTTTCTAGTTGCATACTTAATTTTGATTTTTTCATCTCTTATTTAATTTTTCTTCTCTAATATATATCTTACTTATCAGGTGGTGCCAAGTGTTCAGGGATTGTTCTTCAAGGACTTAAAACAAATTCTGAGGAAAGAACAGTGTGATGTAAGTATTCAGTCTTTGGAAAATATTTAATGTTTACAGGGTTTGGGAGATTTTTAAATTTGTGTGTATGCAATAAGTACAACAAAAATATATTTGTTAGTTTTGTTAATATGTTCAGTTCATATTCTACATGTGCATGTTGATAGCACAATGTATTCAGTTCATGTTCCATATGTGTAGGATATTTAACTTTCACTGCCTTACAAGGTTATTGAGCTGATACTCAATTTAGGTAAAAAATATTCATGCATACAAAACAATATTTCATGTTCTCAGCCTTGCCAATTTATTAATGCATATTCTACCTGTGTGTTTAGCTCACATTTTAATCTGTGTTTGATACTTCATGTTTACATCCTTACCAGTGTGTGTTCAGTTCACATCTTATCTGTTTTGGATAATTCACATTCATATCCTTACCAATGTGTTCAGTATATGTTTTATCTGTTTTGGATGCTTCATTTTCACAGCCTTATCCATGTGTTGAGTTCACATTTTATCTGTTTTGGATGCTTCATGTTCACAACCTTACCAGTGTGTTCAGTGCATGTTTTATCTGTTTTGGATAATTCATGTTTACACCCTTACCAGTGTGTTCAGTTCACATTTGATTTGTTTTGGATATTTCATTTTCACAGCCTTATCCGTGTGTTCAGTATATGTTGTATCTGTTTTGGATGCTTCATTTTCACAGCCTTATCCATGTGTTGAGTTCATATTTTATCTGTTTTGGATGTTTCATGTTCACAACCTTACCAGTGTGTTCAGTGCATGTTTTATCTGCTTTGGATGCTTCATGTTCACAGCCTTACCAAGGAAAACAAAGACAAGTGTACATTTCACAAATATTTCATTTATTATTTATAAAATTATTCTGTCAGTTCCAAACATATATGTAATAGGTTGCTATGTGTCAAAATAGCACTGTGAAATGACATTATATAAAACACTTGGTACTATCTCAAATAATTAAGAGTGGCATATAAATTATTGCACACTTTTGGTTGTTTTAAGATGCTACAGGCAACCTTGCACTAGGTTTTTCAACCCATTTAAGGGTACACAGCATGCTTAGGTTAACAGTATAAATACTAGTATTTCATTTTCTTCAGTGGTTTGGTTAAGATGGGATATTTTACAGTAAAATGCTATGTCTTATTCTGAACTCCAAGCCATTAGTACTTTTCTATCCATTTCCTGCTCAACTCCATATTGCTATCTATTATCATATCTTATTTTTTTTCTTTTGTGCATGTATATTCACTTATACAGTACACAGAAAAATTCTGCTTTTGTTTTTCTTGTAACCACCTATCCATGATATTACTCAAAAAACAACAACACATATTCCACTGAATGGTTAATGTTTGGGTGGTACAGTTCATGATGGTGTTTTTAGATAGACTAATTGTACTGAGATGTAAAATGTAGCAGCTATTCCACTAATGTAAAAAGCTTAAAAAAGTCTTTCCTTTGGTCAAAATAGGTTACGTGAAGGTGTGTGAACATTAAAAAGAATCTACTGAAAAAAAAAAGCACTGAAACCCAGACTGATTAGGTTCCTAGTGATATTACAAATAATTAGGAAATAAACATTGTCTGAGAAATATGTCACAGTTTGGCAAATTTATCGAAACGTATTGGTGCTGATTTTGCTAGATTTCTTAATGTTTTTTAATTTTGTCATTTGGCAAATAGGCCTAAACAGCATTTTAGCTTGGCACTATAAATACAACTATGTCATATTTTATAGGAACCGTAAAGTAAGGTTATACAGCATACATTCAGAATGTCTGTTATTTTAGGTTTTACTTCACTTTAGTAGTAAATTAAAACTTATGAATAATATAATGGTATTTTGAAGGTATTGTTGTAAGCTATGTTTTTAATATTTTAATTTAGATTATTGTATTCTTTGCTAGAGGAAGTTTTAACTTGACATGAAGAGTGCCAGACATCTGGAGATTTCTTAAGAGTTTAGAAATGGCTTAAACAATATGAAACACCAATCAGACTAGAGTAAAATTAGTTGTGGGATAAATTATTGAGTTAATGAGTGTGTTAGTCAGTTGTCTATTACTTCAGTTTGGTAAATTTTGAGTTTGTGTTTCTGCAAGTGCTAGATATATATGGGAGAAGTTAGCAAGCAGTTATGAGTGTTATTTGTGAAGGTTAGACCTGCCTATCACTTGGTGAACTTGTAGAACCAGTGGTATAAGAAATATAATGCTTTCCTTTTCATTAAATGGACTGGCCTTTTAAAATTTTTTATTGAATAATTAAAAATAAACCACCTGTTTAGAGAAGCTGTTATAAAAGTAATATGAGAACCTTGTAAATGGAATAACTGTACATACAAATACAACTTCAGTTTCTACCTTTCTTATACCACCTGACACCACAGTCTGAAAGCAAATGTACTGTGTTGAACTAGCTAAATATTTAGGCAACTGAAGACAAAGAGCCGCTCAATACCAAAAAACTATGCTTTTATAGTGTCTTATTACAAAAATAGTAGAATCAAAGCCTTATAATTAGCATCTTGACCATCTCTTCACTCTCATCTCTGTAGTGTTGCTTTTTAATAACATCATTGTTCTTTTCATATATGATTCTATATTTTGCTGGCTTTCATAAAATTACTGTTGTTGTTTTTTCTACTTAGGCCTCCCTGCTAATCACTGCCAATGTTCCCAGTGCCAAGAAGATCATCATTCATGGGCCAGATGTTGGAGGAATTCCTTCACAGTTTCCAGTTCATGAGGTATGGTGCTCTTTTTTGTACTGATATGTGAAACTAAATGAAATCATGAAAATATTCTATTTTAAACTTTTAAAAAACAGAAGTAATTCAATGTAATGAAACTGTAATATCTCACATAAAGCAACAAACAAATATTTTGTTTATTTTAGAAAACATGACAGCTTGAACTGCTCTTTTGTAATGAAATATGTTAAGAATAAAAATGAAATGTCTAAAAGAATAAGTTGTTTTTATTGTGTGAAGCTTAAATTGATCTCAAAAAATATTAAGAGGATTTCATTGAATAAAAGTTATAATGAATGATTTCAGTGTTATTTAAAAAAATACTGCAACTAACTTTTTGTTTTGGTTGTGACATAACTTAACAATGTATGTATTATTAAACTATGTTGATTTCAGATATTTTCAGTCTTAAGACTAACTCTTTTTAGTTCATATATATTTAATAATTTTAATTGTCAAAACAAATAAAATATTTTTCCATTATAAATTTGCTGGTAAATTTGTCTTTGAAAAAGGAAAGAGCTTGTTTTGAGTTAGTTTTGTATGAACTTCCTATAAAAATATTAACAAGAGACTTGGACTATATTTAGATGCATCAAGTAGCCTATGATATTTACAAAAAATATTACTCACAGACAAATTCTGCTATCTTAACTTTGATAAGTTCAGAAAATGCTATCTAGAAACTTTAATATATTTGGGTATATTCAGCACTTAATTTGTAATACATTCAAGAATATTAGATTAAAAATACCGCTATCAAAGTCGAAAATATCTAGTCTAAGAAGGCCTAAAAAGACAATTATGAAAGTCGAAAAATCGAGTGGAAGAAAACTAATAACATGTTTTCAAAGTCAAAAACATCTAGTGGAAAACTGACTAAAAGGAACATTATCAATGTCAACAAAATCTGGAGGAAGGAATACTAAAAGTGCGTTATAACAGTCGACAAAATATATTGGAAAACTGACTAAAAGGAACAT